TAGATGTTCCCAGCTACTCCTGGAGTAAGAAGTTCCCAGCTTCATCAGACAAGTAAGATCCTCTGTAAGGGCTGTAGGGGTAAAAATGAGATCCTTTTTGTACTGATTCTACTGCATTAGCCCTTGCTCCTTGTCTGAAGGAGACACTTAGGATATCTCTTCCAGGGTCATGAGAGCTAGGCCTTCCCAAAGACACTAGAACAACAGCAGTCATGGTAATAACAACACTCCTGTTTATTTAACACCTAATATGTTTGTTTTCTTACTAGCCCCTTTATATACTGTATCTCAATGAACAAAACCTCAATTGCAAGAACTATCCAGAGATAGGTATTATTCCCATTTATGCTTGAAGAAATCAAGATAAACTAACTTCTTCATGGTTATACAGGGGGTATGTAACTGATCTGGCTTGCAAACTCAAGTCTTTGGCACTTCAAAGGCCATGTTTTGACACATGTCCTAAAGCATGATGCTCCACCAACCCATGAGCATCCCAAGAGAAACTGCTTTCTCAGTTTAGCCTCTCTTCTTTCTTTAGAATGGAATGTTAGGTTGGGAAGGTTAGGTTAAGATGTAAGGGAGTTGCTACCCTGTTCCACCCAGTCCTTGAGGCCCTTCCCTCACAATGTAAATCAAAGTGGTGAAAAAGTCTGCAGTATCTAGTTTTTAGGGAATGACCATTGGTTTGTGTTAAAGTTAGTTCAAGACTCTACTATCACCTTCAAGTGCTATAAGGATATCAGACTTCATTAGAGATTTACTGCCAGGCTGAGCTCTAGTCTCAAGAATAGTCTTTATCCCTCCTCTAGAAAAGCTCTCCTGACTTCTACTTGGTGTCCTTAGAATAGTTTCAGACTCCAGGGAGGCCAGACAGTGAGCAAGAGCAGGACTTGGACCCAAGGGACACAGACTCTGTGGGAAGGTATGTCTTTCTCCTTAGACCTCTCTGGACCAACTCTGACATGGCAGGGATAGCTGTGCCTAAATTTAGATTCTGTGTTCATCCTTCTGAGACAAAGCTTGCTATTTCCTTCTCCACTGAGGGAAGTGAAAAGGTTGTTAGTACAGGTGGAATTCCCACAAGCTCTGAATAGAATGTTTATAAGTGCCGGGCCTCAGAGGCATTTGCAGAGCCCCAGGCTCTTGCTCTCAGACACTACCCAGCCCAGGTAAGAGCATCTTATAAAGGGGAATTTAGGAAAGAAACAGGGACCATTAGGAAGAGTGCCCAGTCTGTAGGGATGAACAGATTAAGGATACTTAGGTATCCCACTTTAGATGGTGCTCTTGCATAGGTCTCCAAGATAAGACTCAAAGTAAAGAAATTCTCTCAAAAGGGGACTTCAAAAGGGTGGTGTCCACAGAATCACACACAGGAGGCTGAAGAAGCCTCTAGTCCACTAACACCAACACAAGTCCCTCCAAGAACATCTCCAGGTGCTTTATTTTATGTGAGTTTAGTTTAGTTTCTATAGTATTTTAATAATAGGCATTTTTATTTTACTTTGTTTTATTTTTTAAAGATTTTAAAATTGTTATTCAATTATAGTTGTCCCAATTTTTCCCCTTTGCCCTCCTCCAGGTGCTTTAAATAAGCACAATATTTTATTCTCATTCAAAATAAGTAGGCACTGTGCTAGCACATGCATTACACCAGAGAGGAAGATAGTCATACTTCTTATGGAACTTTATATTTTGTTTTGAGAAACGGGCCTGTAAGCAGACAATTTGGAGCACTATGTGTGCTGTACAAAGACGTGTGTAAAGCACAAACTAAGAGTTGGAGCAGGCTATCTTAAGGTAACATCCAAGCTGGGGCAAGGTGCCTATGTAAGGAATTAGCCAGGTGAAGGAGATGAGAGTATTCCAACATCAGGACACAGTTAATTCTCAGAGGCAAAAGGACATAATGCAATTGGACATGGACAAAATTCAGCCTTTGTGAGAAGCAATGGGCAGGATGAGGAATGGTAAAAACTGTGGTTGATGTTGGCAAATGTTTCTGGCTAGAGCTCAGGTGGGAGATTGGCCTTCCATGATTCCTTATACCTTCACAGTACCCCTGAACAGGAGGTACAGTAACCTCTTCCTATTGTGTTTAAAGTGTGAGGGCTGCTGCTGATTAGGGAGGCATAAATTAGAAAGCATTAGGGCCTTATGGAAAGAATGGGGGCCACCAATACTCAGCTACTCCCATCTAGCAGCTGAAGTGCATCTCTCCAGTTGTGGGTGCCCTTTTCGGTTTCATGACGTGGATAGGAAGAGGAAGAGATGAAATGGAGAGGATATATCCACCAGAAAGATAGCCGTACATATTGTCAAGTATGGGGAAGGAAGGTGAGAGATAAGGAATGAAAATAAAATCCAATTTTTCTAGGGCTTAAGGCCAGTTCAGAAAATTGAGGACATTTGATTTGGATCTAATAAAGTCTGTGATGTAGCAGAGGCCTGAAGACTGCTTGCTGTCAAGAGAAATCACATGCCCATAATTCACTAAGTGTACATTTATCCCCTTACTTAATTTGGGCTGAGAGATCCTTCTACAACATGACTTTCATGTTCAAACCTGGAAGGGAACCACTGCCCCAGGGTGAAAGGACTCAAATGGCATCAGAAGGGAAGGCAGACTGTTAAAACAGCTTCCTCACTAACAGAAGGAGAGTAACGTCTATAAAGGGGACAAACATGGGAACAGAAGACAAATTCGCTTGGCAAGTCCTGCTGATTTTTCCATCTCAAGAACTCTTGGAGTAAAACAACATTCTCCATATGATTATATCTTTGCTTAGTATAATATCAAGTTATAAAAGCCAGTTTATTATAGGTAGGTGAAGTAGGCAAGTTCCCTTTTATTGTAAATATAGAAAACTTGGTAAGGATCACTTAGCTGTGACCACCATGAAATTGTAGCTTTTGCTTTTAGAACTTGTTGTAAAGTTGTCAGCTTTCATATTACGTGTCCTGCTAAAGCAGAAGACAGCTTTTCAAGAGACAATACTGACTGAAGATTGTATGCTATTGAGATCTGGTCTGGTATATCCACCAGAGAACAAGTGGCATGGTCAAGGGGGGCGGTTGGAGGGATGTTTGCAGAGGCCTGGGCAGAGCTAAGGAAACTGAAAAAGGATGGTGGAACACCACCAATGACAACAGTGAATACCCTACCTAACTCAAGCCTGCTCAGGTAAGGGAAGATATAGTTGCCAAAACACTTTCCAGGAGCTGTGGCCTTTGGTAGAAAACATACAGCTTTATCACTTGTGTCTGGCAGGAAGTGAACTGGGGAATAAATCTCTGATCTCTGGTCTCATCCATGATCTCCTACTGGTGCCTCACATTGACTGAGCTGATCTAGAAGCCAGAGGAGAAGAAAAGATGGGTAATGGAGCCTGTAAACATAGCTTCTGGGGACACAGGACAGGGATCTGGAGGGACGAATGGAGAATAACCAGCACATAGGGTAAGGATACCAAGAGGGAAGTCCCTTGCCTCACCTCACCTGGTCACTTCAGTCACAGGCTGGCTCCTGGGCACTGATTTGCCTGATGACTCAATCTTTAAAAAAAAATATTTTTCAACTTCTTTTTTCTTTTAAAAAAATTAAATTTATGGAGGTGACTTTGGTTAATAAGACATATTTATAAGTTTCAGGTATACATTTCTGTGGTACATGATCTATACACTGCATCATGTGCCCACCACCCAAAGTCAAACCATCTTCCGTCACTGTATGTTTGACTTGCTTTACCTTTTAGTACCCCTACCCTCTTTCATCTGGTATCCACCATGCTGTTGTCTGTGTCTATGAATTTGTTTGTTTTTCTTGTTTGTTCATTTGTTGCATTTAGTTTTATATCCCACATAGGACTGAAGTCATTACGTTTGTTAACTTTTTCTGTCTGACTTATTTCACTTAGCATGATATTTTCAAATTCCATCCCTGTTGTTGCAAATGGCAGTATTTTACCTTTTCTTATGGGTGAGTTGTAGTCCATTTTATGGCTACTGCCAACACTCAGTCTTATTTCCATTTGCAGTGATCTATAAGAACCTTGAGATGGAGGAATCACAGCTTATGGAGGGGAATTCCATGGGATAAAGTCACCACAAAAACAGGCTTACATAATTGTCATCCTCCAGCATCATGCCTCCCTGCAGAGACAGACATTCGAGAGTTCTTTGAAGTTTATTGAGTGTATTCTTGTTTTTACATATTAGCTCTAAAGAGAGCTAATGCTTGGTGTTATTGTGTCAGATTAAATAAGAATGCATCCTATTTATTCTTGACTTCTCTAGGTACCAGCAGTTTAAGTTTGTTGTGAAATGAAGTCAGTTGTATTTAACTAATGAGACACAGTAACTTGTCTAAGCTCCTATTGCCAGGATCTGAGACCAGATCTGGAAAATTCTAAAGCACACACAAACTATTGACTACTCTATTATAATCAATTCAACTAGGCTCAAAATGTGGAAGACAAGCCTTCTTCTCTTCCTTGACATTTCTGTAATATGCATAGTTAACACATTCTGGTATCTTTTAGACCCTGAAGTGCTAAATAAACATTAACTGCCATTTGTATTTCTCAGCATCAATGTGTCTCTTCGTTTAAGCAGTCCTCACTTGGAAACCTTCAAGTATGATCCTGATAGACACCTCATAGTTCTTCTAAAGAGTTAAATGACTAAATAGGTACCTGTCTGCCTTAGGTAATTTCATTCATAGATGTAAGAACTTACTCCTTGAGAGCCATATTGAAAAAAAATGCTCAGACATTTCATTCAAATATGTATTTTGGCTTGTATTTGGTAAATTTGTGGGCATTATAACAATAATAACATGATACACTGTGACATTTTGTAATTTCTTTAGAAAAAGAAGTTTATAGCATCTTATTGATAATCCCATTCTTGACTATAGGATATAAGAATACTCTTTTATTTTTAGGAAAAAAAGTTCTACTGCATCTTCGAGCACAAGTGAATAAGTTCATTTATGAATGGCTACACTCACTTTTCGTAATGTCTGCTCAGTACCCAGCTCCTTCCAGCTCACTGGCATCCCAGGGCTGGAGTCCCTGCACATCTGGCTCTCCATCCCCTTTGGCTCTATGTACCTTGTGGCTGTGGTGGGGAATGTCACCATCCTGGCTGTGATAAGGGTGGAACGTAGCCTTCACCAGCCCATGTACTTCTTCCTGAGCATGTTGGCTGTTATTGACCTGGTTCTGTCTACTTCTACCATGCCCAAACTGCTGGGGATCTTCTGGTTTGGTGCTGGTGACATTGGCCTGGATGCCTGCTTATCCCAAATGTTTCTCATCCACTGCTTTGCCACAGTTGAGTCAGGCATCTTCCTTGCCATGGCTTTTGACCGCTATGTAGCCATTTGCAACCCGCTGCATCATACCACAGTGCTCAGTCCTACCATGGTGGGACGTTTGGGGCTGGCTGCCCTCCTCCGGGGTATACTCTATATTGGACCTCTGCCTCTGATGATCCGCTTGCGGCTTCCCCTTTATAAAGCCCGTGTCATTTTGCACTCCTACTGTGAGCACATGGCTGTTGTCACCTTGGCATGTGGTGACAGCAGAGTGAATAATGTCTATGGGCTGAGCATTGGCTTTCTGGTGCTGATCCTGGACTCAATGGCCATTGCTGCTTCCTATGTGATGATTTTTAGGGCTGTAATGGGGCTGGCCACCCCTGAGGCCAGACTTAAAACCCTGGGGACCTGTGGTTCTCACATCTGTGCAATTCTGATCTTTTATGTTCCCATTGCCGTTTCCTCCCTCATTCACCGATTTGGGCACCAGGTGCCTCCTCCAATCCATACTCTGTTGGCCAACTTCTACCTCCTCATTCCTCCAATCCTCAATCCCATCGTCTATGCTGTCCGCACCAAGCAGATCCAAGAGCGTCTCCTCCAAGTCCTGAAGATAGAAACTAAGATTAGATGACTACTACTTCCTTCTCTGTCAAATAAGCACGTGGAGAATGTGCTTAAATATGGTGGGCAGCCTCCCAAATGGGAACTTCAAGAAGTCTGAGATATTAGGCCCAATGATCTTCAGCTTTAGTAATTCCAAAGGAATGATAAGAAAGAATGTCCAACTCTAAATTCTAAGAGTAAAAAAATGTTTGTTTAATGACTATAGGATATTTGATCTGTAAAAGGTACAAATGACAGTATCAGTAACAGAAATAGCAATTATTGTTTACTCAGCAATTACAAGTCACATAATTCTTATGAATATGCTGAAATCTTATGAGGTAAATAGTGTGTTCACATTTTACACACAAAGAAATAGGACAGGGTACTCTTGCTTTATAAATTGCATCCATAGTTTAAATTGCCTAGGTCAAGTGTTTTGATTGGAGTTTATAATATATTGTGGTGTTATATAATACTTTCTACTCTGTTTTCTGTGTATGCTTTAGTAAAAATCCTAAAAATCTTGGGCTATTTCATTAAAGTTTTCTTAGCTACAAGAAAAACATTTTCTCATTTAAATGTTTAACAGTTGAGATGCTGCCAAAACTGTTTGTACTAATAAAGCATGGAGTGTTCTAAAAAAAAGACTGACTTGTGTGCCTGTCTGGTATGGGGAATACCACTCATGAAATAGAATGTGGCCTGGAAAAAAAGTATCGGCTCAGTGAAGGAAATGAGACAAAATGACCATCTCTCAACACTGCCCTTGTTGCATTTTCTCTGCAGTTCTACTCTCATTGAGTGGCCTGAGGCTTGTGAGGGACCCATGGAAAGAAACACCTTCCTCTTTCCACAGAAACTCTCCTTAACCCCTGAGCCCATCTGTAGGGTCCCTGATCATAGTGTGCTTTTTTTGAATGGAACACACAGTAAGATAAAGTTTTGAGGTCTGGTATTTATAGGAACATTGGCTTCACCCTCCAGGTAGAAAACGGATAATATATGTGAAGCACTTAGTTCCTCAGTTGCTATGGGCTGAAAATTACTAATGTTATTCTCAATCATACCAAAAAGACAGGAATTACTCTCCCTAAATTTCAGATGAAATTGATGTTCCCAGAAGTAATAAAAGATTTGCTGAAGAGCATGCTTATAAGAAGTAAAAATAATAAATTAAGCCTTTAAAAAAACTCTAAAGCTTCTAGTCTTTTCCTGGCCTTCATTTTATTTAACTGTGAAAAAACTGAATGGTCCTTCTCCTGGGATCTGAGTGGTTGTGCATTTAACATTTCCAACTAGCAAACATTTTCTGTACCTCTATGCCCAGCACTGAGAGTGTATAGATCAAGAAAGCAGTTTCCTCTCAGCATTCCCTTTCTGGAGGGACGACAAAGGGTAGATAGAGCTGTGTTCAGTACAAGTCTGGTTACAAACTCCATAACACATTAAACTAAACAGGTGGGAAAATGTTGAGGTTACTAGGTTTCAGGTATACAACAAACTATCACTGGGCAAGGTATAAATGGAGGTAGTCTGATGTGGACTCCATCCAGCAGGGTCTGTATGTTGTAGATGAGACAAACAAATTCACACAGACTACGAAAGTCCTGTGGAGAAAAAGGGATGGCATGACCCTCTCTGAGAGAGAAAGCTCCCCGACCCTTGCCTGGACAGGTTTTTATTGCTTTTCTGGGAGGATTACCTTAAGGAAGGTCTTCATTCATCATTGTCAGGCAGGGAGGGTCAAATAATAGATAACATTCAGAGAATTATGAGGGAGGGCTTATTCTGAGTCAGGGTCAGTTAGCTAAAGAGCTATAAAACTTTGGGAAACAAACTCACTTCAAGCTTGGACCCTTATCAGAAAATTGAGGACATTCTTAGCAAAGCAAGTTTTACAGGATTTTATGCATTCTTTCTTAGGCTTGATTGCTGAGGAACTGCCCATTCCTGCACAGGGCTGAACTGCCATCCAGCATTGTTTCAGGCTTAAGTCAGGCAGGAGAAGTAAGTCAGGCAGGAGATTAGGAGACTTCTTGCAGACAGAATGAGGACTCAGGCTATGTCAAAGCTGAGGGGTGAGGGTCCATCACCCCCTTTTTCTATAGCCCCCCAAGTCCTTCCCTGAGGGCCCCTTCATGACCATGCCTATCTTAGGTTGTCCCTCCTTTGAGGAATCTTAGCTGTCATTAGCTAACCAATCATCTGCCTGGGACCAAGCAGGGTGAAGTAAAAGGGGGCAGAGATGACTCCCCTACTAGGAAGATAAGCTTTGTTTCCTTAGTGGCTTATGGTCCCAAGGTCTCTTTACTCAGCCTTAGCCATGGGGGGTTACAGCTTCTGAAACTAGGCGGGGTGGTTCCCAACAGTAGTCAAGTGCAAAAGAAAGACCACTACACATCAATTGCAAAAGTGACTCCTGGTTTTGCTTTGGCCATTCCGATAACTTTCCCCACTACTGGGAGATCTAGAATGTGTGATCACCTAAGGTTCCAATTACATTCACATTCCTGCTAATATATCTAACTTTCATCTCATGACTCCATCATGGTATTTAGCTTTCCTGAACATTATGTTTAAGTTTGGAGGAGTCAAGTGTTTTTCTATCTATGGATGGAAAAAATAATAATAAGCAAAGTCCTGTTTTACTCATGCCCACCAGCATTGGGGGCCTGGTGAAGATGTTTAGAGTTAGTGCCAAGTATGTGCTCACTGGTTCTTATTTGTGAGAACATGGATGAACCTAGAGGGCATTATTCTAAGTGAAACAGGACAATCACAGAAGGACAAATACTACATGATTCCACTTACATGAGTTATCTAAAATAGTCAAACTCATAGGTACAGAGAAGGGAATAGTGGTTGCTAAGGACTGGGATGAGGGAGAAATGGAGAATTGGTCCTGAAATGGATATAAAGTTTCAGGTATGCAAGATAAAAAAGTTCTAGAGATTTTCTATACAACATAGTACTAATAGATAATTAATAATTATCTATTAATAGATAATAATTATTTATTAGTGAGCTTTAAAATGTGTTAAGAGGATAGTTCTCATGCTAAGTGTTTTTACTGTACATATACAACCCCTCCTCCCACACAAAATAATACAAGGAAATTTTTGGAGGTGATGAATATGTTTAGTATCTTGAGTGTGGTGATGGTATCACATGTGTATGCATGTGTTTAAACTCACCAAAATATATACATTAAATATGTGCTAATTTCTGTAAATCAGTTATACCTCAGTAAAGTTTAAATATTTAGGTTTAATGGCTTACATGAACATATATTATGTCAAAGTTTATGTGGTCAAAAATCTTGGCATTGCTGAGCTGCATGGCTCTGACTCAGGGTCCTTCCAAGGCTGCAGAGAAGGTATTGTCCAGTGCTACAGTCATCTCAAGGCTCAACTGAGGGGTGATCCACCTCCAAGCTCACTCACATGGCTGGTGGCAGCCTCAGGGAGGCAGTCCTCCCTGAATCTTCACTGAGGTATCAATTTCTTGCCACACAGGCATATCTGTAGGGCTTCTCACAACATGGAAGTCTGACTCGATTCATCAATAGTGAGGGCTGTGAGAGGGAGAGAAAGTGAAAGAGAGGGAGAGAAAGACAGAAATCACAGCCTTCCTGTGACCTTATGAATGCTTTGTCACATTCTGTTTGTTAGAAATAAGTCACTAGGTTTTTTCTACCCTCAAGGAGAAGTAATCACATGGGGCAAGCATACCAGGAGTGGGGTTCACTGGGGGTCATCTGAGAGGCTGCCTAACACACCACCCTGCTTATACACTAAATTCTATGATCAGATCTGAAACCAGCCTGAGTTGGTGAAGACACTCAACCAACATTAGATAACTTCTTAGTTAACTTGTCCTACCCCTAAAAAAGTACCTTTTAATATAGAAAAAGAAGAAAAGGGAAGTATATGTCCTAGCATGATAAGGACTCTCCTACTTGAATTATACCCAGGACAGTGTAGACACCCGTCTTCTGGGTCCTCCATTTCCAAGCTGTCAGCTTGTAATCACAGCTGAGTCTACTTTCTAGGGCTATTCCTGCTCAACTATCTTAAGTCCCAGGAACGGACTCTGAGACCTTTTCATACAGACAGTTTAGCATGGAATATACTCAGAAACAACATCCAAACAGATTTTTCAAAGAAAGAAGGTGAATTACAAGGTACTTTCATCAGAATTCTCAGCTGATTAATCTTATGGGGGACTCTGGAGCTGAGCTGATCCTGAACACTTGTCCTGAGTGGGCAAGGGCAACAAGCTTTTCTACCCAGGCTCGGACAGTCATTGGATGCAGTCATTGCATTAGGAGGTTGCATAATTTAGGATGAGGCAGCATCTTTGGCTGAAGGTAATTCCTGGAGAGGAATGAAGCTGTGAGCCCTCATTGGCCAACTCGCAGTGGCTGACTGAATGGGGTCTGTGTGGTGGTGCTACATAGTCTACTATTCAGGAACATTCATAACTGATTCATCTTCTGAGGGGACTTCTGAGGGTTAAGGAAATACACCCTCAGACTTTTCCCAATTGGAGAACAGAATGTCTCATTATTGATCCATTTACACTTAAATTTTATTCTGAATTGAAATCAGGATTTTGAAGCACAATCTGCACCCTATGTCCACTGCAGCACTATTCATAATCATCAAGATGTGGAAACAACCCAAATGTCCATCAGCAGGTGACTTATTATCCTGCACTTATTATCATACTTCTTGGTTAAGAAATGAAACAGATGCAATTGAAGTCATAATTTTAAAATGTAGTTAACATTAAGAATAAAGACATAAATTAAAATGAATGAGATACAATGTAAACAGACATTAGAACAAACATACATTCACTTCCCAATTTTTATTGTTGCTTTTCATTCAAACATGAAATAAATATGAGAAACAGATAAATTTGAAAAATAAAATTGAATGCTCACTTAAGTTTTGTTTGTATTTATTGGTTAGCTTTCTAGCAATAGATAGCATAAGGAAGCATGCGTGGAGGGGGTTGGAA